TTTATCAAGCGAACGGGTCGTCATCACATGTTTTTTCTCCCCTCTCTGTATGGGATATCCACCTTTATTATTATTATGGGTAGTGCTAAATTTATTATTATGGGTAGTGCTAAATTTAAATTTGAGGATAAAACCACTAAATTTAGCATTAAATCTGCCTAACATGCAGATAGCCCAGGTTCGAATCTCAGAAGAGTAAGTTTGGCTGATGAGGGTTAAAGGAACCCGAAATAGCTATACCATTCTCTCTTTATTCTTTGTTAGCAAAACCTAAAAACCTAAAAATGTAAAATGATGTCGCAGTTAGTGACTGCTGCTTGTGGATGGCTCTAGATTGAGCTGATACAGGCAAAAGAAAAGAAAAGAAAGATTTCTTTCTCCCATATCTGGGCTGACAGGGTGTTCATTCAAGGTAAAAATCTCCTCCCCCTGTCTCTCTCCTGGTAGCTAACAAAGTGGGAGAGAACCCGTGGCTTAGAGGTTATAACATCTTCCTAACATGCAGATAGCCCAGGTTCGAATCTCAGAAGAGTAAGTTTGGCTGATGAGGGTTAAAGGAACCCGAAATAGCTATACCATTCTCTCTTTATTCTTTGTTAGCAAAACCTAAAAAAGAGAGAGAGAGAGAGAGGGAGGGAGGGAGAGAGAGAAGGGGGGGAGTTTTTCAGACAGACCGGTCTGATTGATTGCACCTTGGCATTTTGATTGCTATACTGCAGTTCTACTTTTTTTATAATCTCTTTTGCCTTGCAGCCCCCCAACTAGGGGCATTAAGCAGGCTCAAGTTGCAACTGCTATACATTACAAATTCAGATTTCTTTTTTGCTGACGAGAGTTAAAGATTTAAGTGGCAAACTAGTATAGCTATTTCGGGATTTGAACTAGGGCAGTCTACATGCTAGGCAGTGTATTAACTACCAGGCCACTGCAACATTACTATATGTATATAAAATGATAACCTTCCTATTATTATTAGATCTCAGGATGCCACATCAAAATGAACCAGAAACAGCAATAAATCAGTGAATACCGAGCAATAAGAACACAAGCAAATAATCTGAATTAGTAACAGATTAAGCCTTGCATAGTTGATTTAAATAATGATAATAGGGTTAGGGCATAGAAGATAAGGAAAATTGGGATCAAGGTGTGCAGATAGAGAACATTCAGTTCTTTGCCTGGGGTCCCAGTATGATCTGGAACTCACAACGTTAATATTAAGCAGCCTGTCATAGGCAAAAACTGAAGTGAAAGTCATGGTTTCTAGTTTGTCCTAAAGACTGAGGATTGGGAAAGGTGGGTCAGATTGACATGGGAAAGTAAAAATAAATAAGAAAAGGAGATAGCAAACTAGAAGAAGTGAGGAGGCCATGTCTAACGTTAGAGGATGGTAAAGGAAAAGGAATGAAACATGAAGGAAATCCCAAGAAAAGGAGAACACCCCTGATGCTTTAGCTTATTTTCTGCTTTCTCTGCAGTAATGTTTTCACCTTGTGCTGTCAGCAAGTCATTATTCAGAGCATGGCCAGGGATTGGTTGGCTAAAAATGCCTCCCTAATCTCTGGGTTGATCTTGATCCCCCCACCCCCACCCCATCTGCTGTGACCTTCCTTTCAACGTGCACAGGCTGAGAAAGAAAAGCAAGAATCTTGCTAGGCAACTGGCATCCTAGATTACAAGTGAGCCAGGCAAGGTACATTGCTGCCAACTTGATCAGCCGTGGGATACTGCTTTTCTGCCAACATCCGATGGTCACTGCAGCCCCTCTAGAGAGGTATGTTATGAGCAATCCTCTTATCCTGTTAGGGAGTCTCCACCTTATGTCATCTTGAAATTGTATTCATGCTTTGCCAAGTGGTCCAGAGGACATTTGTATGTAGTTTATGCTTTGTATGCTTTAAGTCAATCTGCTGTGCTTTCTTATGAGCATTAGGCCTGTCATCTTCCATCAGAGCAAGGTAGCATCAGATAACTGCTAAGAAGCATTACACTTTTAAGATTCTATTTCTTATTACTATGCTGCGTTACTCTATTTTGTTGATGCTTCATGGAAAATATATTTTATGGAGGCAGCACTACTTCATACAAGGATCTCACTTTGATTTCCGTAGCATAAAGTACTCTTTTGTTTTTGAGTGGTTCCACTCTCTGCAGTTCAAATTACTTGAAATGGCTTTTATTTTAGTATTTCAGTTTCTGTGCTTCCCTCCTAGCACAATCAAAGTGCAGATAATTCATTAGATGCTATCAGGTGAACAGAGCAGCATCACGTTTATTGAGACTTGTGGACTAAGAATGTTAATGGATGAATTGTGTTTGTAGGATGCTGGGAGGTAATCACCAGCAAAAGTTGTTATAATATGTTGTATGTGGACTGCAATGTGGCAATAGTACAATGATGGCACTATAGACGAATATGTATGTCTGTATGTATGTGGATACAGCTGGTTCAATTTTTTGTTGCCCAGGCCCAGAATGGATTTCCGGAAGTGGCATCCACACAGAGAACCTGTTGTTCACATATTTGAATACAACCACTTTGTGGATATATTGCATAAATATTATATAGATATTTATTTATATAGATACCCATTATAATTACTGAGTTGCATCTCCATCATTATAATACTTGGATAGTCATTAGAGAACTATTTTGAATATCACTCTGATTTGCTCATTGTCTCCCTGGAAATAGACTACTGGGCTATCCTAAGATCAGCTGGTCCATAGCTTTAAAGCGCTGGCCCATTTATAGTACTTCAACACTATCAGTCTGAATCCTCTTGGATTTAGCTTTATACCTTTTTATATGGCCAACTATTTCTGAAGTAGCAGCCCAAAGGATTGAAAACAGATTACTGTAGAGGGAAATGGTCAGCTGCTAGATTGTTTGCCCACATCTCCCTTAGGACAATCTTCCCAGGAGTTCTTTATATAATAAGGCTGCTCAGTCTTGCTACAGTATAATAACAGTTCTTCCCTCCTGCATATCAGTTATTTGAAAACACGTAGAGAACCTTTAACTATAATGTGCTTTAATCCAATAAAAGTAAAACCATTTTAGTGTTCAACAGAACCATTCCTTAAATAATGTTAAATTCTACAATGTCATTGAATTTGTTTTCATTCAGTTTGCTTCATCTACTAGTAATCTATACAATATATTTTATATAATTAAATCAAATTAAATAAAAGAAGAAATGCTCTACACATGTGCCATAGTATTAACAGCCTAATTATCCTTGAAGTTAATATAATAAAAGAGTGGGGAGATCAAAATCTTATGTTATTAAACAGTACAACTCCAAACATGTATTACTGTATATTGCTTAGAAGTTTTCTTCCTTGCTCCTTCATCAAAAGATATACACATAATTCAAATGTTCACAGACAATATGTAACAAAAATCTATTGTTGCAAATCGGACATAGACTTCTCTTCCAACGTGATATAATATTTTTAATTAATCCCATGTCTGAAATAGAGTTCTTGATTTCTTGATAGACTCCATATATGGAAAATAGTCAAGAGTAACATATACATGTTTAACACAGTGACTGAATCTGAATAACTATCCTATTGATTTCAGTCCAAAATGTGGCAATTTTAGGACCTGTCTAGAGAAAATGAGTTAATGTTCATGGTACAATGTTTATCCTTATCTTAATCCAGGCAGCCATCTTCAATCTTGTGCCCTAGATGGTTTGGGAATGCATCTGGCTATAAATTCTGGGAACTGCAATCTTATCTCTTCTGCAAAGCACCAAGCTAATCTGTGACAATTATACACATTTTTAGAAAAAAAGTGTGCTTTTCATTAACAAATCAAAGCCAAATAAAGTTTCCTGGCACATGTCTAGATTAAAATATGTATGACTTTGTTCACTTCTATTTATGTTTTCCTTTATATCTAAACGTTAACCTTTCTAGGAATTTGTATAACCATATGCTGATATTATAGTGCCTAAGCTATGTATCTCATAATATGTTGCTTTTCTTTTGGTATCAAGAGATATATAGAGGAAATAATATTTCCAAACAAGGCAAACATTTTAATCATCCATACCTTAAAGTTGTCCATCTCTCTTCATGAAGACAGCTGGAAAACTCCACATGCTCCAGCTAAAAGCACAAATTGTGAATTGGTGTCTGTACAACTGAGAGCTTTGTTTTCTCCTGGATTAGCTTGGCATTAATTCTGTAGTGCCATAAGGTGATTGCCAACTTGATTTAATGGTTGAAAACTAATATACACAAATATCCAGACATAAAAGAATGGACAAAACCATTCATGTTTAATGTATTCTCCTAAAATGTTTCTAGAAGTCAGTGAAAAATTATAAAAAGAAAAAAAAGAGGAATGTCTACTATCTCTTTTAAACCACCATATTTTAGTGAGGGATTACAAACATTTTCAGAGAAATAGTGAGAACAGAGAGAAAGAGAAAGGGAGGGGGGGAATTAACAGATTTCTTATGATATTAATTTATATGAAACATAATCCAATACGTTTTAGGGAATTATGGATCTTTTTTTTTAAATAAGTGTGTTAAAGTGCCATAAAAATATTTTCTTCCTTTTACTGCCTCTAGCACTTACATTAGTAACAGAGCTGCCTCCTATTTTAATTAGATACTTAGTTCTGCTTTTATTTTTCAGGCAATAGTCTTCAAAAGACATTCAGACTATATGTTTTGTTTCAGTTAGGTAATGTCAATCTTTTAAAATTAAAATGAGTAACTGAAGCCACAGGGAAACTTAGTGGAGTGAAATGGTCATCCATATTAAGTATCTTACTGATCACCTTTTTATAATTTTAGATGTTATTATACTTTATATAATTTCAGTTATCTACTTCATAATTTATATATTGACTGCACCCTGGATCTCACTCATAGATGCTAGTTAGGTTGTTTTATAAATGTATTTTAACTTTATCTTAAATTTTATTTTGTTTATTATCTATTAAGATAGGTATGTATGTATGATGAGTACGAGAGGAGAAGTACCAGGGCCTGAAGGAGGATGTGGAAAGTAGAAGCCAAAGTTGTCTCAGTGGAGATAGGAGCATTGGTGACTGTGACTCCTAAGCTGGCAGAGTGGCCCCAACCCATCATAGGAGCAACGTCAGAGCTCCCTGTCCAGAAAACTACAGTGTTAGGAACAGTTAAGATACTGTACAGAACCCTCAAACTCCCAGGCCTCTAGTAGAGGACCGGATATTAATAGGAAGAAAATAGAAATGTGACTGTTCTTATCTTTATAAAAAAAAAAATCTTGTCATTCTTAAGATTTTGTTCTTTTTTTATGATGTCAAGTAATTTTTCCTGTGATTAAGGCTTCAGTTAAAACATCATTCTTTAAACAACAAAGTTAAAATTTCAGAGGTATAAAGAAGATTATTTGTGGAAAGGAGAAATTTCATTATTTGGGAAAAAGAGAAAACCAAAATAAACAACGATCACACATAGAGAATTCTAAATTACAATCAATAAAGTCAATTTAACTTATTTAGCTACTTATTTCTGATTTTAATACATAATGGGGAAAAGTCTGTGAGAGTACAGGTTAGTATATTGTTAGGAAAGCATAGACTGAGAATAATCTGGGAATCTGAAATTAATCAAAGGCAGGTCTATATTTGATTATTATATCAATGAATGCCAACCCAATGCAAATAAGCATGGAAGAAGATAGAGCTTTTATTTTCCAAGATTCAAACATCCAGTGGTATATGGACTGTAGCCATGAAGTGAAGAAACGTCTGCTATTTGGAGAAAGACTAGGACAAGTCTAGACAAATATGTAGTCATCACACTGACAACAAAGGCATATGCTGTCAACATTATGATTTATTTTTGGCTTGTAAGAGAAAATCTTAGAACGGTGATGCTAGAAAAAAATGATTGAGAATATATTGAAGAACATGTCATTCAATAGTATAGGAGTTGAAGTAAAACCAGAATTCTCCAATGAAACTAAAGCTTAAGAATTCTGGATGTATAATGAGAAGGCAAGAGTCATCAGAGAAGACTCTGGTACTTTGAAAAATCAAAGGCAATAGAAAAAAAGGTCAACAGAAGACAAGGTGGTTAATATTTTCTTGAATTACACAAGAACTCTGAAAATCAGTTACTGGCAGAAAAATCCTATATCTATTGGATCCCAAAGAGTAAGAAACCTCTGAACCGCTACATAACAGCAACAAACCTGCAGCAAAAAATAAAAAAAATAAACAACCCTGTTCAGTTTGCCAACTTCTGGATTATCTTAAATTTATGCTATCAATTATTATAGCAGTTATCATTATTATAATAACTATTATAATCCTAGTTTTCAAGGACACCATATTTTAAATGGATATTACTACATTTATTTCAAAATGTTGTACATCAACCCTGTTACATTTGGGAAATCTACTTAATCTAATGAATGATGAGAATTTCTGTTGCTCTCACTGCAGCACTCTGTACAAAATATTTGCTTCACTTTTCTGTGTTCATCTTTTTGTTAAAATGAAACTGTTAAAATACTGCCCAACTCTGTAGATTGGACTCATCTCCCATGTTGTTTACTTAGTCCCATCATACAGAATGGCAAAGATTTCCCAAATTATGCTTTGATTCTGCACGAGCAGTCACAGATTAATTCTTTTGCTCCTATTATATTTCCCTTATAAAAAATTAAGCCAATAGCCATTTAACTGATATCAAATATATTATCTAATTTAATCAACCAGTTATTTCCTCCTCAAAACATAAATACAAATATTTGTAAAATATTTTGTAAAAACACAAAAATACCAATGTCTTCTATAGAGCTCTGATCCTACGTTAATGGTCTAAACCAGGGGTAGGGAACCTTGGCACTTTTATGACTTGTGGACTTCAATACCCAGAATTCCTAAACCAGCCATGCTGACTCAGAAATTCTGGGAGTTGAAGTCCACAAGTCATAAAAGAGCCAAGGGTTGCCTACCCCTGGTCCAAACAGTAAAGGGACAGCTCATAAGACTGCTTGAGAAGGTTGAGAGTTTTTCTGAAACTGCCCTTGGTCTCTTTTCATCTTGATGGGAACTATGGTTCAGAACATTTCAGGAAGGCAGTTGGGATAATTGTCCCAGCCTATATGTAAAAGTGGATTCATGTAAAGCTCAGTTCTCTATTTGGAATGATAGATCTAAGAATAAAATGAATCAGTTAAGAATATAATTCTAACAGTTATTTGAATGTGTTAGGTTTTTATATGTACTCGTGTTTACTTTAAAAAGCAGAAACTGGCAATGAATGCAGGGAAAAGGGACAAGGACAGAGAAGGTGAGAAGGGTCTCAAATAAATATTTTGTCTTTGGACCTTTTACCCTTTCTGTGGATGATATCATACAGCCCCAATAAGAAGAACTGATTAGTTATATTTCCAATAAATTACTTGCTTCCTATATTGCTTTTCTTCTTCAATTTTAAAATGATAATGCTCTGGCTTGTGTTATTACTGGTTCAACAATGCTGAACTGAAATAATAATTCACAAGTAAAAAGAGAAATTCCTAACTAAAGGCAATCAAACAAACCATTTTGTTTGTGATAGGTCTGTGGTGGCGAACCTATGGCACGCAGAGCCCTCTCTGTGGACACGCGCACCATTGTCCCAGTCTTAGGCCTTCAGCTGGGTTTTATAAAACCTTTTCGCTTTAGGCCTCCACCATCGTGTGCAGAAAAAAAAAGTTCAATCAATCAATCAATTTCAACTCGCAGGAAAAAAAAGATCTTGCAAAGTTGGAATTGATTGATTGAACTTTTTAATCCCACCCAGTCTGCCATTACCATAGAAGCCATACCCACCCAATGGGCCACGCCCACCTGGCACCCGATGATACATAAGTCGGTTTTGGGTTGCAGTTTCGGCACTCGGTCTCTAAAAGGTTCGCCATCACTGTAATAGGTTGTCAGAAACCTGTAGTTCTGCTCTTAAGAACAAAGTTGGAAATAATTCTAATTAATTGCATAATCTGTGAAGAATACTGTATGGTGAAACATACAGTTGAAACTAAATCTGTGACATTATAGATTTCAGGATGTAAACAGCATAGGAAATAAACACTGTTTTTTAAAAATTGTTAAATGCTTTCAAGCATTTCTATCTTGAAATGAAAATCTATCTTCAGATGAAAAGGTTCCCTGAGGTCAATAAATACAAGGGGATCCTGCTGGCAGAGTTACAATCTGAAAGATGTAACTCCAAAGGGAAAAGGGCTAAAGAAGGAACAGAAAAAATAAACTCAGGCAATTAACAGTTTTAAAGTTACACAAATAAATTTTGAATGTATAAAAATGAGTAGAATTAAGAAAGGACATTTCCTCACCTCTGCTTGGCAAAGAAGACAAGCAAAAGCATCTTCCAAAATGCTTTCTATTACAAAGCATTCAAAGGAAGGATTGTCTATCTTTTTTTGGTGAATTATATGCCTGACATATTTTTATGATACAGAAACTTATGTCCAGCATTTGTCTATTTAGGAATTACAGCACTTTAAACAATGAACAATTAAAATTACAAACATACAGTAATTAGGAATTATGTATATAGTATATGAAATGAGGTGATGATTGTTATTTTTTATAAACAAATGTAGTGTGTGTATGTGGGGGTGGGGAATGCTTATCACCACATCAGGAAAGTCCATCCTCAGGAATTTTTAAACGGAAGACTTGCAGAACAGAGGCCTTCACAGTACTATCTGGACTGTGTCCTGCCTTTCTCACAAATACCAAACAGATGCAAAATGCAAGTGTGATCTCTTCAGCAGAGTGTTATGCACCATGACACAAATGATTCTATGTACCATACTGGGAGGTCTCTTGAATTGGACCTCAATCAAATTAACAACAAGGCTGAGATCTTGGAAAAATAACAGAGCCCTTTTCCTGTCCTCATAAAAAGTATCTTCCCACAAAGTCTCATGCAGCTTGCCAGCAAACTGATCCCTTCATGTCAGGGTGCATGCCCCTACCCGGGAAAGGGTTCCGGAAGAAGCCTGAAGGGTTGGAAATTAGCAAACAGAAGGCAGATTGTTTTTTATGGAACTAAACTGGGGTTTTGTCGGCACCTACACAATGCCATAGCCTTTCACAATTATTCACTTTCTGAGCAAGTAACTGCAGAAGGCCCAATTATTCTGTGCTTCTAATTAAGGAAGCAGATAGCCAAGCATTTGTATTCTCCAGGAAGTGGAAAAGGGATTTTGGGATCAGCAGCTTCTTGTGTCACATTCAAGTGAAAGTAGCAACGAGACATCTAGAATCAGCAGTCAAGATCTGCCGGCATTAAACATGAAGGAAGGTTATAGGTAACTTTGGGAACAGATAGGTGAGGAAGTGTCTTATGTGACACAGCCAAGCCAGGCCCAGGGAGACCGGAAGAAATAGAAATAGGCAGGAAGCATCAAGAGAATAATGCAATTGTAAAGGAAGCTTTCCTGATCTACTGTAATAGCCTTCAGATAAATTGGATTACAATTCCCAGCATTCCTTGGAGTGATAATCTCCACGTCTGGAGACTACAAAGCGGATATTGTTTTAAAGTATAGGCCAGAGGGAGTATGTATGTTATGTTATACTACTTGGACCTTGATATGGGCAGTAGAAAGCTTTTTTAACTGCATTGGATGTTGTCTTGGCTCCTGTGCAATTGGCATAGCCATAATTGCAATAGTGCTTGTACCAATGTGCCAAAGTCTCATTACTTTGGCTCTGGATCAAAGCCATGAGGCTGTACAGGAGGTCATTTTAATATACTGTAGTTATAAAAGAGCATCATGGCAATACTTTTTTGGGAGAACAGGGTGTCTGTATAGAAATAGCAAGAAACCATGGTTCCAAATTATATCTTTATGGACACATGTATGTGTGAGATTTTACAATGTGCCATCTTTTTTTTTTTACTTCAAGTGACCACATGGAAAGATTTTCTCTATGACAATCTATCCCTGTGAGAAAGACCTTCAGAAATGAGGTAAAGAGAAGCTGCCTGAGGAAAAATCTGATAAAAGAATATAGCTCATAGCAGCATAATGGGCAGAGAAAGAGGCTGAGGAAAGATCCTCCCTAATTTCTCAGACTGTAAAGGAAACAGTGGGAGAATTGTACTTTTAGACTAGCAAGACTGTTAATGTAGCCTTACAATACAGTAGAAGCAGCTAGTCTGGTCAGTTTCCTATCTGGTATACCTGGTAAGGCAGACAATCCTAACTTGGTTTTTCAGATTTTCCAATGGTACACTCATCACCACTGCAAATTAGTCCATCCACCTTGCTGCTAATCATCTTTCCTTCCACCTTTCCCAGGATTAGATTCTTTTCCAGAGAAAATTTCCCTTTTCATATAATGTATCCAAAGTAGGGTAATCTGAAACACAAAGAAAAATAAAAGCAGTCTAGAAAGGCCGTGAGTCCAAATGTAAGAATGGCAGAGAAAGACTTTTCCTCTGTAACAATTTTTCCATTCAGAAGAATCCCTTTAATATGTTTTTCTACAAAGAGAAACAAGGCTTGGTTAGTGATTCTGGGCAGAAAACAAATTGGCTCAGAGAACTTGATAGCCATATGGATGCTTTTTGGTTTAAATTCGAAGTCTCTTTGAGCTGACTTTTATTTAAAAAAATATGTAGGAGGGAAACCTTTCTCAATCTGTGGGGTTTCCCTTGCTTGCTTGCAACTGGTGACAGGTTGGTCACCAGTATGGCTTATCCAAATAAGTTGAACAAGACTGTGTCTTGCATTTCTTTTTGAGATACTTGTGGAACTTAAGAGGTAGTTCGAATTTTCCATGTGATGGATAGATCCACCCCTTCCTGGTTTCTTCCACAGTTGAATGGGGCATGTATGGCCCACTCAATTCAGGAAGAATTGGGGAAAAATTTATCTAGGAAGTAATCAATGCCTTTGAAGCTTCCTTCTTTGAAGGAAATTGTAATTTGCTCTCTTGAAGAAACTATTTCAATTCTGGTATTTTTGATAACATTTGTTTTTGGGGAAATCTGTTGAGAAAAGGGAAGGAGATTCAATTAGAAACATGTTTGAAGGGAACACATTATATAGATTTCTTTCAAATAGGGTTCAGCCCCAGTCACAGGACATTGAACTTTGGTCACTCTAGTCAATAATCTTTGTCCAGATTTGGATGGGGAAGTCTATTAATCTCCTGGCAACTTTTATTAATGCTGGCATTGATACTCCTTGGTTACCAGCAAGGTTTGGGAGTAAAGGGCACTGCATTATATTAATGATCGTGGGGGAATAGTGGTCAAACTCTTGGATGCTCCAAAGTGGATATCAGAAGGCTCAGTCCTTTTCCATTTGTTATTCAACACCTAGATGGAGCTTCTGGGAAAAGTTTGGGGTGAGATGTCATCAATACACTGATGACACTCTTAAGGTCTGAATAGAGAGAAATAAGCTAACACTGTTTTTTTGCTTTTAATTGTTGACATATTCTGTATTCATTTGGTCATCTGTATCACCACAAACAGCCCAAATGGGTGATCAATAAATTTTGTTCTTAAATAAATACATCTGACAAAGTAAGGCAATTTTGATGTGGCTTATAGTTTATAGCTGAAGCTGCAATTCTAGGTGTCCTAGATTAGAAGAAAACTCCATTAATTTTCCTGGGAATATCTTTAAATTGACAAACTGAAGATACTGTATGTAAAGGTATATCTGTAGGGATCTTTTCAAGACTAAGACAAGGTTCATACAATTTTATAAATCATATACATGACTAAAAATATGGATCCTTATCCCAGTTTTGTTTGTAATCTAACAAAGACCTTCTACTTACATTCAAGGCAAACAAACCTGGATGGAAATATTACAACTGCAAAGTCAATGTGATGATACAGAGGAATTATCTGTGGTGCACAACAAAGCTATGTTCATATGTAATAGCATTTTGACTTGGACCTGAGAGTGCTAAGTGTAAATGAGAATGAAAGCACATGCTGTTAAATTTAAAGAACTTCCTCTCAATTATGACTTTTAACAGGAAATACTGTTTTCATTAACACATCTATATGACACCTAAATAATGGGGCACTTATCCACACTAGGTATTTACAGATGTTCTGTTTCCCTAGGATATTAATATAAAAACCTCCACTCAGATCTGCTTTAAAATTGCTAATTTTATAGATCTAACAAAATAGTCCACATTGGAAACCAAAACCAACACACTCAAATGAACAATTTATCTAAGAAATTCAGCGGTTGTGACCACAACAGAAGCCCCTCATTATTTATGACCTTTGAGCATAAGAAAGCATCACTTACTTATATTTATTAATTCATCAATAAATTAAACTGGCATAAGGGGACTGTGTAGCAAATGCGCACACAGCACTTATGCAGTGCCTGTATTATACAATTACATTACCAAAGCAGTTCTTTTCCTCTTTCCCAGTTACCTGAGAAGTCGAAAATTCTGTAATGCCCCTTCTCCTCACCTCCATGTTCTTTTACTTCCTGCTTAAAGCCAATAGCACCGTGGTTTATCTGAAATGAAAAATTCGAGGAAAACCTGTGAGATCTTTTAGGAAGATTTTTGATTAAAATAATAGGTAGGAGAGATGTGCCGCAAGAATGAAGGAAGAGGATACCAAATGTAAGAAATTACAGGAGGAGTTTTTAATTAGCAAAGGTACAAAGCAATGGAAGGCAGATAGTGACAAATTTCTCAAATTCCTGCCTGGGGGGGAAAAATGTATTTGTAACTTCACTCCTTCTCTTGCTAAGCTAGGAATCTGGAAAATAAGGAGATAGAGGAAGGGTGCTGAAGACTGAATATCCCATTGTGCTTCATTAGGAAGACAAATGAACTCTTTAGAAGAAAGATGAGACTTTACCTGAGACAGAGCGTGGGCGACAGAGAAAGCCACAAGGGATATGGTGTATGTTCTTAAAGCAACTTGATCTTAGTGCTTGTGAAAATAACCTTCCTTAGGAAAACTGCATCATTACTGCAGCTGATTCTAAGGCCAAGTTTTACTGCTCCGCCTGATAATGACATCAGATCTGTAATCTCCACTTAGCTAACTGAAAGAAAAGGGTGAGAATATTTGTCAGATGTTCCCTTAGGAACTGGAAATAAAGGAATATAATCCATTTAATAAAGAAAGCCAGAATTGGTAGCAAAAATTATTATAAAATAAACATGATTAGTTTGTACCACCACAATCACTCCAAAATAGAGGAAATATAAGCTTTTGTGGTGCAGAGCACCCTGACAGCCAAAAGTGATGACAGGAAGAAACCTCAATCTGCCTTCTGATTTACCAGAAAAAATAGTCAATCAATCAATCAAATACAAAGCAGGATTCAAAAAGCTAACTAATTCTTCACATTATCTATGTGTAACCAAAGGAATGCCTTTGTATTTGTTGCAAAACACTAACTCAACTCCAACACCTGATGATGTCCTAGACCAGGGGTAGGCAACCTTGGCTCTTTTATAACTTGTGGACTTCAGCTCCCAGAACTATTTTTACCCCAGTTTGTTAAGCAAATCCAGCTTCTCCAATTGACTTTATCTGTCAGACATCACCCACAAATCACAACCAAAAATGCTGCAACTCTCATAAATATGGGTCAGTTGCAAGGTGCCTAAATTGCAATCACACGATCATGGGAGTGGTAAGATAGTTGTAATTTAGATTTTTTTTCTGAGGCCATCATAACTTTGAAATGAACAGTCATAAATCAAGGATTACCTGTACTATATTTTTCTGAAGAAATCTCTATTGAGTGCAGTGAAACTTTCTCTTAAGTACCCTCATATAGCTTTATAGCAACTTAATTTAAAAACAAAAGCGTAAGAATTTTATGAAACAAATGATTAAGTGGACCTGAGAAAACAAGTATGTTTTTGAAAGCCAAGGCCTAAATCCCACATCTTCATTCCTATTTGTAATTGAAAGAAAAGAATTCCATGAAGTTCCACAACACCACCAAGTACTGTACATTTGAATAAATTTCATTGGGTCTTTCTTTTGGTTAGGTTACATCAAATAAAACAAATTCATCACAAATATCACTTAGCTATACCACCATTATCTGGTTACTGATTCCTGTATCTAAAAAGATAGAGGCTGTATTTTCATTAACCTACTGTATTAGCATCCATTCCACACATCATTCTCCAACAACAGCAGCTATTATTCTCACACATATAGGATTCTGCCTCCAGAAAAGAAATTGAAATAGTTAGCATACACCAAGCATGTCAAACTGCTGGTCCACATGACATCGCGAGTTTGACATGCCTGGCATACACAAACAAATTGACAGCAACCTATAGTATATCCACCTGGCAAATTATTTCATCTGTTTTCATTCAGAAAGAACTTTCAGATGAATCTTTGCAACTTTTTTTGCATTTGGAGAAGATATTTGGAAGGTTCTGTGGCCCAGCTTCCAATTCTACATTAGGTCAGCCAATCCCTCTGACTGGTTTCACAAATGAAAGCAAACATATATGTCCCAGGATAATGTTGCAGGATCCAATCTGGGTCGGTCACAGGGACCAGAGTTTAGTCTTCCAGTCTGAAAGCTTGGAAGACTAAACTTCTGACTGATTTATCCAAAAAATCTTGGATTATGGATTTCTGCAAGAGAAAGCTTATTTGAGAAAACTTATCCGAGAAAAGGCAAAATTTCTAAAGAAAAGTAAAAGAAAGCTTAAGAAGCAGTGTTTGGAAATGCTTTGGGGTACAATATTGGGTCTCTGAATCCATGTATTTCACTGATCTGTTCCATTAAGAATGTCTCCTGCTTATCACACTATTCTTTGAGCGACAAATATTTTCCAATTATCTCCATCTCTTCTGCTGTGTTCTTATTGTGCCCAACTCATACTATGAGCAGCGAGATTTTTCATATCATTCCCTCTTCTGGGGTGTCAACTAGACTCTTATTTAATGCCCTCTTATTTTGCCGAAAATTATTTTGTGGCCTAGAATCTTGTATGTGCCTTAAGCGTGGCTGGATCACTGCTAAGAGATTCCCACGCTCTTCGCTTTCCTTGAGCTATCCGCAAAGGATATCCTTAGGGTCGCCTAGGAACCAACCTGCCTGTTTTACAATCTTGCAGAGGAAGCTCCGCCGGCAATTTGGAGCTTCGACGCGTTTGTACCAATCTGAAATGGAAAAGCGGGGAAAGGGGTACGTCAGGACGGGTAAGACGCTTAGTTCCCGAAGAATAAAACCAGGTCTTCCCGGTTGGCGGAACCGGGCTGGTGTCCTTACAGGTCATTCGAAGGAAGCATCATACACGTGTCCCATGCCTCTCTGTAGTCACGCGCCCACGCGCGTGTCACAAGATTGCGAGAGGAGGAGGGGAAAATCTGGGGAGGATTCGAGTGGGGCTGCCTGCTGCTGCCGCCGCCGCCGCCGCCACCACCCGCGAGCAGGTAAGCCACGAGCTCCCCCCCCCCTTCCCGGGCCTAGACTGGGCTCGGGTGTCCGTGTGCGCGCGCGCTGGGGTAGCGGGCGGGGGCGACGGTCCCCGCAGGCAGGCTGCGCTGAGCATTACCCAGTTGCCATAGAAACCAGCAAAAAAAGAGGTTGGCGGCCGGCCGGTCTGAGAAGGAGGAGGGGTGGGAGAGGGGAGCGATTTGCCCGCAGTCTTTGCGAAGCAGCAGCTTTAGCCGCAGCTTCGCCGGAAGAAACCGACGGGCCCGCTAGAGCGCTTGACGAGCTTTGAGAGCGGGGAGGGGGCGGTGAAGAAACCCAACGCCGCCTCTGGTGCGGCTTCTCGGGCTCTCTCTCTCGAGGGGGGCGGTCTCACTGTGCCTCCCACTCTAAGGACCAGCCGGGCAGAGCCACGCAGGTAAGCCCTCCTCCCCCCCCGGTGAAAAAAGAAACGCAGCAAGGACGTGCCTGGGGCGGACTTTCGGCATCTTCCCTCTCGTTCCCCCCCCCGCCCCCCCATCCCCCGCTCCCGGTGGATCGAGGCTGGAAAGGAGGGAGCCAAAGTCTGGCTGTTTCTGGATGTCGTGTAAGGTATAAAGGCACGTCTGAGAGACAGTCGGGGGTCCTATAGCTGGCACTAGTGGGGAACTTGTGCTTCATAAGTGCTTGTCCCCTTCTTTCTTCCGATCATCGCATCGTTGTTAAGTAATGTTAATGTTAAGTAATAGTACTGCTAATATTATTATCCCATTGCTCCGGTCGTTGCACTTGGCCTGGGCTGCATCCCGCAACGAGCAGGTGTGTCTTGCTCTGACAAGAATCTGAAATGAGTTTGGACTACAACACTGTTCCCTGATGAGGAAGGAGAGGCGAGTGCGTGGCCGACGGGTTGTTTCTTTCCACCCTACATGTAGACTTTGATTGATTGATTCGATTGCTGCAGAACTAACTGCTTGCGCGGGGGCAAACAGGCAAACAAAATCACCTCCCTCCGGGTATTTTCCAGCTGGGGTGACACAATGAGATGGATCTTTCAGGGTTTAGATGTCTGTCTGCACCATTCCCTCTTGAGGAGAAATTGCATTGCTTTTTTATGGTGGTAGTGGTGGCATTTTTGTGTTTTGTTTTTAATGGTTGGTTGGTTTTCTTTTAAGTGAGGTTGGGCTGTTTGCTGTGCCTCATCACCATGATGCCCAAACAGTCTCCAGAAAGGGGAGGGCATTCTGTTTAGGTTTTTTTGTTGTTCTTCTTCTTCAAAGAAGAATATAACTATTTGGGAGGGGGGCAGAATAGTTATCTTGCCTGTTTTCATCCACCTTTCAACCTCCCTTTTGAAATTGCTATTACTAGAGCAGCCAATTAAAATTAGTAGCAGGGGAAATCAAGGCTTTTATCTATCATTTGAGTGTTATTTTAGGGATCTGCAATTCTGCCATTATTAATTTAGGAATTTGGAAGTCAGTGTGAACATAGGACGAAGCAAGATGGGTGGAGGCCTAGGGCACAGGATATGCCAAATTCTTTTTAGCTAAACTATGCTTCTTGCTACATAGAGTCCGGCAAGATGCCCTCCAGGTGTCTTAGAATTGCAGCGCCTAAAATTTCCATGCTGGCTAGGAATTTTGCCAATTGCAATCCCATTGCATCTGGTGGGCACCAGGTTGGGAAGGTCTAGTGTAATGAATGGTTTTGTTAGAGAAAAACCTCTGGGTAAACATCAGAGCTGTCCTTTCTCTCATAAACAACAATCTGGGATTATGATTAAATATGCCCTGTGATTAAAAAGAGACTTTAAAATATAGACTTATCAGTTTAAAGGAAAGAGCAAAAGTAAAAAAGATGGACTGTGTCTCAGATTATATAGCATTCTTAGATACATAATCTGAAATCAAGATCTCTTGTCTGTCTTTATGCTTTCTTGTAGGTTGATGCAGGGCTGTTAGGAATATCTTGAAGTCATATTGGCATTGTGTTTCTAAAATTATAACACTATGTAAGTTTGATAGTAATGATGATCAAAATGTGACCATTATTTACTTGGGTGGATTAGGGCATGAACTGATCACCATAAGCAGAAAGCTAATCCAGCAGCAATATGTTGATGATTGTGTGCCCAAATAATCATATAAATTGACCCTTTGATCCCCAATTTTTTTTCAGTTGCATCATTTTTCTGGATTTTTGAGCTATAATCTTAAACACCATTTTCTAGTCATCACTGATGCACCTAATGCAGTCAGAGAATTGAATTCCTTTGCTCCTTTATAAAAACTATAACAAATTAGAAATCAGGATTATTTGAACTGATATGTTGTCCTTAATATATAGCACACACTCCATTTTGAACTTAATGTTGTCTGACTTTGCCTGCAGCCCTGGCTACATTCTATCCAGTAACCAATTCTCTTCTTGGGCTTCTTGTCTTCATACCTAGTAAATACATTTCTTTTATATTAGCTTGCTTCCCCCTCCCACATGACAATCGTCTTCCCCCACACATTATTTTGCAAGTCCTTACACAACAGACAACTAAGTGACGTCGGTACAAATTAGGACTTGTCAATAGGATTTCTTTGGCACAAGTAGCACCCTGAAACAACTCTTTGCATTGATCCTGTATATGAATAAATGCAACAGATTCAGTATTCTGTTTCATCAATTGTCAGTGAAATCAGTTGAAGATATCAAGATATTTCAGAAATTCAACTCTGCTATTATTGTAAGCTCCCCTAGGCAGGGATGTGCTGTACATAAAATAGAATGAAGTTCAGTATCTATGTGGAACAGAATGTGGAGAGATCATTTAGAATGTCATTCTAGTTTTCTCATTTTTGCTTATTACTCTCCCAATGTTTAGAGTGGGGAGAAAGAATATGCCAGAATGCAAATAATGAGGAAAATGCATATTTTCTTTTCCAAATGCTGCATTAGGGCTTGTCCAAATGCAGGTTCCAGGCAGATTGCAATGTTTTATCTCTGCCTTAATGTGGCTAAGGAGGATTGATAATAAGTTATGTGTTGTGAGGATAAGTGTGTGCCTGAGGTCTTGTCATGGAAGAACACAAATGCAATAACTACATATGCTTCTGCTACATTGTCCTTTGTCCAACAGGTTTCACTAACTGAGAAAATCTTTCAATGGCAACTATTTTGTTGTTTACTTTAGGTAATATAACCACCTACTGATGATTTTTTTAAAAAAAAATCAGTCTCTGTGATTCAAAATTGGTAAACAGTACTGGTTTTTGCAAGTTTTCGTCTTTGCTACATACCTCAGAAGGAATGAGAACACATAAAAAAGGAAATAGAAGATAGCAGCAAGTATTTGGAGGTTTATTGGAGTTATTTTGCATCCAGAATGCTGAAAAGGAAAAGAAAAAAAAGATTAGCTTAAAGCAATCAGCATTTCCCCCAATTTCCATCTTTTCCTCTGTATGTAAGGATAAATGATAGACAAGAAATAAGAAATCACAGAAAGTTAGATCATTTGAAAAGCAGAGACTAAAATTATATAATACTGTGTAATGTGTAGTATTGCCCAAAGTTATAAAATATTGGGGTGGCCTATAAATCTCATAAATAAATACCCTTATTGAAAAGAATATCTTTTTGACACATTTTCATGTTGCTTATATTTTCTCTATTATGATGTACATGGCAAACCTACTCTGTTAAGATCCAATGACAGCTAACCAATAAAACTTAAGATATTAAATTATGATTAGCCATTTTGAATGGATAACTTCCTTAACCTATGGTGAGATCCCTACTGCTTTTTGAGGCCAGTTGCACAATGAAATATAAACTCCAAACAACCTACAGCTTTTTCTACTGTGGTGACTGCTTAACCATCTTTATGGATATATATTTGAATAAGAAAATTTATTGTGCTCTTATAATTAATTAAAAATTAAACTTCCATTATATATCAACTGCAAGCATTCACACACATAGTTTGATTGTAATGCTTTCAGCAGTCCTGTTAAGGAGGTCGGGAATAGATTCACACATTCTGTTATCTAACTACAAATTCTTTGTTTATTCACAGCAGAAATCAGGTTATGATTTCATGACAATTATTTTCCTTCATAATAAAGATCTTAGGACCAAGGCTGAAAAAGAGCCACCTGCTTTAAGATTACAGAAATCAACCATGAACTTACCTGATTCATTGCACAACTTTTAACCATGATGGTACAACTTTTCCTAAGAACCATAATTGATCTGAGGCCAAAAACATTTTGGTGCCTGAAGTAAAAGAACAAACAATGCCCTCCCCTAGTGTTAGTGAGCTTTAACTAGTAAGGTATTCAAGAAAAATTGAATAATAACATCTAAGCAGGTTGTGTCAATTCTGAAACTCTCCTCTTCAGCACCCCTTGTGACTTTTTAACTTTTTAAAAATATATTTTGATATAAAAGCTTACAGAAGTTCAGTAGGACTTTTGGTCATCTGTAGGACCTTGGCATTTGTACCTATATAGCATTTTTGCTCATGAATTATTGAGGCAAAGATGTATGTAAAAATATGTATTATGCTTGTTTACTACAAATACTGGTAATAGCATCAGACTTCTTGGCACAGGTTTTTAATTACCTTGGTTGAGAACTGTAGTACACAAGAATACATATACAGGACCAAGCATAGCAGTTGCTGATGCTTAAAAGCAAATTGGCTGCAATATCTTATTTCACTCACTAGCTGAATGGGGGCTGAAGCAGGAAATTTAGTGTTTCATGGCACCATAAATACAAATATGGGGGCTTATGCACATCGCCTGGTTATTCTGTTGTCAGAACAGGCTGGCAACCAACAGCATACCATTTACAAGAAGTGCTATTATCATTTATTCTGTTATTTAGTATTCATAATAAAGTTCTAAAATACATAATAAACCATAAGGATAGTAAGAAGGTGTTTTTAAAGTGCTTCTTACGTCTTCATGAAGGTGCATTTGATACCTTAA